CTGAGGCCCGAATTTCTCTCTCAACACTCCAGCAATCACAGCTACTGCCTTCTTCTCCTCCTCTGTCTCCTTGCATCCTCCCCTCTCTCCACGCTTCCAACCGCCTCCCTCAACGTTTCCCTCCACTCCACTTGCTTTCTTCTCACGTCTCGTGCGCTCTCCTCTGCCATTCACCCCCTCTCTTCCCACTCTACTCACGCCCTTCTCAAACTCTCCTCCCTCACTTTCTCCCTCCTCTCTTCCATCTGTGCGCAATCGAGCCTCCATCCCAACCGTCCGTTGCGGTCCTGGCAGCACTGGGTTGCCATTGAAGCTCCGATCAAATAGTACGTTCGCGCTCTCCGCCTCGGGAACCTCTGCAGTTCTGGCCAACGATCTAGCGGGACAGCTTATAGTGAAGCTCCGGTCAGGGGTTCGAATCCTGGCGAATGCGTTTTGCACATGTTGGTATCGGTTTGGCCCAAACCAGTAGAGGCTCGGCGGAGACGGAATAGCAGCTGCGAATGTAACTTCGGGCTTCAATAAGAGTAACTTGGAACGAGGAGTAGAAGATTGTGTCATGTGTCTTTGCGAAAACAAAAATCTGTCAATCCGGGCGATGGATGGCCGTGACCTGGAGATACGACACGCCATAGCGATTAGCCGACGGATTATGCGGCTTCAAGATGGAAAAAAAAGGATGAAAGATTTACATTATCAAACTATACGGCTTCAGTTCTTGTCCTACTACTAAGTATCAGACGTGATTCCCTGAGCATCGTGCAGTGACTGCGTAGAATCTAACGCGCTAAAAAAGCGCTTCGTCTTCATGGTCAGTCGAGTTCGCTGACTGCAGTCATCTCGCTCTCTTGTAGCAGATCCTAGGAGACTCCAGATTAGGTGTCCTGGTTATGAATCAACAGAAAACTGGGACTAGAGCAGCGACAAATGGAACGGGACAACCAGGCTGCTGGCGTTGGGGTTACCGAGGTGCGATAATCCTGGCTGGCGAACCAATTTATTCACCTCTCGCTTGTGCATTGCGACACTGAAATGTCGCAAGCGCAGTTCCGTGTGCTTTCGCTAGTCCGTTTTATCCAGGCGACGACTGGTTGCCCAGTTGCGAAAAGTCGTGTGTATTCGCCTGTCAAATCCCATTTGTGCCGTTCCAAATTCGTACCAGTTCACTATTTTACAAAACGCTTCATCAAAACCGACTAGGACTAGTTTGGGGCATAAGTGTGTAGACTGGACTTTGAATCTCTCTTAAAATTCGGTGTTCGTGCATCCTAGCAACTGAAACAAGCAAACGCATCCCCTGCCATTCACGGCACATCCGACTAGGACAAAACGGTGCAAGTTCAACCTTGCACCTTCTTGAATTTCTTGTCCAGGCAAACAAGTGACAGAACCAAGCACACCGCCCCCTTTTTGAGGTGCCTCAAAAGCCCGACTAGGGACGAGTTTCCGGCATAAACGGTGCAAGCTCTACGCCAAACCTCTTTTCAAACTCCTTGTCTGAGCATTTAAGCAACTGAGTCAAGCACACCGCCTCCCTTTCCTGCTGCTGATTCATGCCGCACCGGTTTGCAGCACCTGTTCTCCTCAACACACCGTAGCTGTCTTGCATAGAACCCAATACACTTTGATGCTCGACCTTCCTCACCCCCAGCCCATGCATCTCAACCTCATCCTCCCCGTAATCCACTTTAATATTCTCATCCTTCCCTTCTGCCCTCCTCTCGTTGCTAACTCCTTCCATATTCCCTCCCCCTCCACCATTTTTAGACCGAGCCACCTCATGCGGCACGAGCACGTAGCCCTTGCTCAGCAGCGCCAGATGTCGCGGTCTGATTCGCTGATCCAAGCTGTACCCAAGGAAGTAAGGGAACGCAAGGACCTCCGTTACAGGGAGCCCCATGTCCCGTTTTAAGTACTCCACCTTGTGCCTTGTGTTCCTCTCCCAACTGAAGCAGATAGATGGGGGGAACTTGACCACCAGATTCGCCACCATCTCATGAGCTATCGTGGCACCAGCAATGCTCTTGAATGCTCGTCCACTCCCTTCACTTGCTAGCTTCCTTGCACCTTCCTCGAGCATTTGCCTCCTCACCTCCTCTCCTCCACTCTCCTCCATTGCCGCTTCCACTTCTCGCACGAGTTCTCTGAAACCTTTCTTGAGGTTCTCACCATTCGATGACAGTAGCCTAGGAAACCGAGCCACAGCAAGAACAGCGTCTTCTCGGCCAAACAAATCGCTCAACAATTCCACCTTGCCTTGCATGTTCTCTACCGATATAATAAGAACCGAAGGCTGGCTTCGCACCACGCTCCCTGCTGCCTTCTTGCCCACGATCTCCACTAAGTATTGGAGCTTAGCTAAGAGATTCTGCGAGCTGTGGTGGATGAGAGTGGGGGCATGGCGGAGAACACAGACAGCAACGGAAGGGGTGCCAGGGGGAGTGAAGGACTGGAGTAGGCTGACGTTGGTGGCAATGCGTTCGGGAGGCTTGAGGAGGATTCTTGGATACTGCACCAGAATTCTGCTCAGGTGATTCTTGTCCATGATGCCACCTTCTCCGTATCCGTTAGCAAGAAAAGCTGATACTTGCTCAAGACGACTTCGTATGATCTCCTCCCCCACGCATAGGATATCTGGGCCTCTCTCTATAATCACACTCAGCTTGTCCTCAGGAACCCCTGCTCTCTCCACCAAAATGTCCAGGTTCGTTGAACGAGGCCGCATGGTAATGAGATATGGAGCCTTTCGGAGCACCAGACCTAGCTTGGTTCGGCGTACGCCCCGAGCCAAGAGGAAGTCAAGCATTTTCCGAACCTGGGGAAGGGAGCTTCGGAGCCATAGAGAGTTTCTCCTAGTGATGGCTGAGATGTCGGCACGGGATACGCCGTACGACTGGAGGAGGTGGACACGTGGCAGCAGGTCATTGGCAAGATCGGAACGCAGAAGGGCAGGGCGAGAGGCGAGGAGGGAAGCGACAGTGGAAGGGGAGGAGATGCCGAGGTGGGAGGAGAAGAAGCGGTAGAGGTAGAGGAGGGAGGAGGGAGATACGACCCGCAACCTGTTGAGTTGAGGAGGAGGTGTGGTCGGTGTGAGAAGAGTGAGTGGTGTGTCCTCCTCACTCGCTCCTGCCTCTGCGCCTTCCCCCTCGTTCCCTTCCTCATCCTCTTCGCCCTCTACTTCTGCGCCCTCTGTTTCCTCATCCCCATCCCCTTCCTCCTCCTCTTCTTGTCGTCCCTTAGCCTGCTTCTCATCCGTACCGTTTATGAACCCCTCCCCTCTCACAATCTTATGTCCAAATTTCTCTCTCAACACTCCAGCAATCACTGCCACTGCCTCCTCCTCCTCCTCGGTCCTCTCGCATCCTCCCCGCTCTCCACGCTTCCACCCGCCTCCCGCAACCTTTACCCCCACATTCTTTGTTCTTCTCACTCTACTCCCGCTCTTCTCTGATTTTCCTCCCTCACTCTCTCCCTCATCTCTTCCATCTGCACGCAACCGAGCCTCCGTCCCAACTGCCACTGCTGGCTCGTCATCGAAGCTCGGATCGAATCGCACAGTCGCGCTCTCCGCCTCGAGAACCCCGGCTGCTCTGGCCAACGACCCAGCGGGACAGCTTATCGTGAAGCTCCGCCGGTCAGGGGTTCGAATCCTGGAAAACGCGGCGTTTCTCGCAAGGTGGTGTCGACTAAGCCCAAACAGGTAGAGGCTCGGCGGAGAAGGAATAGCAGCTGTGAATGGAATCTCGGGCTTCGATGAGAATGACTTGGAACGAGAAGTAGAAGACTGTGTCATGTACCTTAATGAAAATCCTAATCTGTTAATCCACGCGACAAATGGCCGTGACGTTCTGGTACGATACGCCATATCGGAGCCTTTGGATGCAACGAAACTTATGACAAATCACACGATTGATTCGCACGCCTTCAGTGCTTGTGCTACGACGACCATCAGTAGTGTTGATCCCGATTCCCGAATCGTAGCAATACAGGCAGTAGTGTTGATCGTCTCAATAGTTACTCCAGTTTCTGGCCGCAGACATCTCAGGTTCTAGTAGCTAAATAGACAATACATACCCAACAAAAAACAACAGAGAAGTGCTCTGAATCTCCCTGATAAAAGTTTTCAAACGGACGCAACAGGCGGATCCAATTCTGGTTCCACTGCCTGCACTGGGATTGCCGAGCTGTGGGGTAGCCCTGCACGAATGAATTGCGACAACGATTTGTCCCATGCGAAGATTCCTGCGCGTTCGCCATCTCATCAAAGCGACGCCTGGTTGCCACACTTGCGAATAGTCTTGTGTGTTCGACCGTCTAGTCCGCGAGGTGGTTTGTGCCGTTTCAGATTCGTACCCGTTCATTGAGATGGACGGAGCACACACCAGATTGAAGTTTTTATGTGCAATATTTCACACCAGTGCCAGATCTTTTACAACAAGGTGTTATTGTTACAAAGGGGTGCTGAGCTAAAAACAACAAGTGCACAAACATAGTGATAGTCCTACATCCTATATTTTGGTCATAAATTTCGCCTCAAAGCTCTTATCGGTACAACTAAGGAACTGAGCCAAGCACACCCGCTTCTTCTCACTACTCTCCACCTCACCCTCCTCTTCTTGCCACTCATCCTCCTCATTCCCCACATCTGCCAAATCCTCCCCCTCCCCATCCACGTCCTCCTCTCGGTTTCCCCTCTCCTCATCTTTGTCCGCAGCCCCTTTCCGATAGCTGCTGAGCCTCTGAACAGCCATCACCTTATATGGCACAACCTCATAGCCCAACTGCAGCAGCGCCTCATGTCGCATCTTGATTCGCCGATCCAGGTTAAACCCCAGGAACGGCGGGAAGGCAAGCACCTCCATTATAGAGAGACCCATCCATGTCCCGTTTTAAGTACTCCACCTTGTGCCTCATGTTCCCATCCCAGCTGTAATAAATGCATTGCGGGGACTTCATAGCCAAATTTACCACCAACTTGCGTGCTAGCTCCTCCACTCTATTCACTGAACCTTCAGCCACGCCCAAAGCACCTTCATGCTTTCCATTTTGAATCCTGTACACCCCCCCCCCTCCTTCCCTTCTTCACCAATCCCACCTGTCTCCAGTCCCTCAATCTCACCCTCCTCCCCTCCTTCCCCTTCCAACGCCTCCTGAAACTCCCTCAAAAGCTCTGCATAGTTCTGCTTCATAGTCTCTTCCCCAGAAGTCAGCAGCAGCGGGAATCGCCCCACTGCAAGCGCAGCATTCTCCGGCCCAATTAAACCGCTCAGAACCGCCACCTTACCCTCCAAATTCTCCTTAGACAGAGTCAAAACCAGCGGATGACTACTAACCACCCTCCCTGCTGCCTTCTCCCCCACCAGCTCCACAAAAAACTGGAGCTTAGCTAAGAGATTCTCCGAACCGAGGTTGAGAATGGAAGGGGCGTGGCGGAGAATAGGGATGGCAATGGAAGGGCTATCAGGGGGAGTGAAGGACTGGAGGAGGCGGAGATTGGCTGATATGCGCTCAGAAGAAGAGAGGAGGATTCGTGGGTAGTTCAAGAGAAGCCTCGCCAGGAGGCACTTTTTGTCCAGGCGTTGCCGATTCCGGTGTTTTTTCAGGTGTTGCTTCAGGTGTTCTGTGCTGCTGCTGGTGGTATCCCCTTCTGTCCCCTTCTCTTCCAATCCATCTGACAGGTAGTCTGACAACATCTTGATTTGATCCTGTATGGATTCTTCGCTTCGACATAGGAGATTCGGGCACCTCTCTATAATCACACCCAGCTTCTCCTCGGGAATTCCTGCTGCCTCCACCAGAATGTCCAGGTTCGTTGAACGAGCCTGCGAGCGGATGAGGTACGGCGCGCCCCGGATCACCATACCTAGCTTGCTTTGGCGGACGCCCCGAGCCAGGATAAACTCAATCGTCCCCTGGATTTGCGGGAGGGAGCTTCGGAGCCAGGACGCATTCGTGATGGTGACGTGGACAATGATTTCCTGGGAAATGCCGTACGACTGTAGAAGTTGGACACGTGGCAGCAGGTCACGGGTGGGATTGGAGCGCAGGAGGGCAGGGTGGGAGGCGAGGAGGGAAGCGACAGTGGAAGGGGAGGAGATGCCGAGGTGGGAGGAGAAGAAGCGGTAGAGGGAGAGGAGGGAGGAGGGAGAGGTTGCACGCGTGCCCTTGAGCGGAGTAGCAGGTTTGCCTGCCGGCTCCTCTTCGCTCAATTCTGCTCTTATGTCGTCCCCCTTCCCCTCGCCGACTTCCATTTCACTGGCCGCTACCCCTTCCTCCTCTTTCACTCCCTCTGCCTCCTCTTCCTCCTCCTCCTTAATCCCCTCAACGTCCTCACTGCTTCCGCCTCCATCCCCTTCCTCTCGCACAATCTGACGCCCGAATTTCTCTCTTAACACTCTCGCAATGATTGCCACTGCCTCCTCCTCCTCTTCGCATTTTTCTCCCCCTCTACTCGTTTTCCCTGTTCTCTTTCCGCTCCTCTTATCCCCACTTCTCTTATCCCCACTCCCCCTATCCCCCGACTCTTCGCCCCTTACTGGCCTCGCGCTGCTCTCCCCTTTGCTGCCATTGCTCTCCGCATCCTCCTCCTCCCCCACTCTACGCGTCTCGATCCCTGTTTCAATCTGCAGCGACGGCTCGACGTCCACAGATGCGACCTCAGCCGTTGAAGTATCTGCTGATCTGGAGGGTTTTTCGGCGGCACACCTGATCGTCAGGCTGTGGTCAAGGGTTCGAATTCTTGCTTTCGACGGAATTAGATTCAGAGGTTTGAGCGGAATTTTCAAGTTTCTAAGAGGCCACTCGTGACCATCATCAGGTCGCACAGCTCTCAGTGCGCGAATCGAAACGACTTGTGAAGGGAAAAGGTACGCCATACTTAGGGAAAAATTCCGAACAAGAAAGCTACTGAATGATGCTTGTCAGATCAGAGCGGTCCTGCCTGTGACGCAGTGCGTCAGCCATCGGAGCGGTGCTTTCTAAATCTTCATGAAATCGCCATGGTGGTAATACCGCAAATGACGTTGGAGTCCCGTTCTACTTCTCTGGAGCTATGACGTACGCGATAACGAGAAAGAGAGGGTTTGAAGTTTGAATAACAATTCTGTTGTGGCAAAATTGTATTTCCGCACAGATATGTGCTTTCGCTGGGGTGCCCAGCCAGACGCACAAAATGCTGAGTTCTGCCTGCGAAACAGTTTGCGGTTGTGTATTGAAGCAACGAAGCTTTGAGGACCTGGTAACACGGACAAGAATTTCGGTGAACAGCGATGGTGGAGCATCAGACCGCACATCACCGTACAGTTTGAGACTAAAATGGCAGAGAACCGTACCGCGAAACGGTTTGGCGGGACGGAGGACTGAACTGCAAGATTTGGTTCGACTGACACTGTTCTAATGCGACCCGAAAAGCTCCAGGGAGCGGGAACTGTATTTTTGACAGAGAGCGTTGCCCTGGGCAGGAGTTTGATTTCGTTTTCTTCACTGCTGCTGCACGGTGTAAGGATTTACAAATCCTTACTGAGGCGCTCGATAGCGAGGCCATCCCGAGGGCCACGCGACCAACTGGTTCGGCCTACAATTTCGCATCCCAACCTCACCGAGCCGCCTCCGCACCAATCGCGACACTTCGCGAGCCAACTCTACCACACCATCCCCGCCTAGCTAGGTTTTCCCCTATTTAGGCCTCGCTACTTCATTGTTCAGGCATTCTGTAGTTCAACATTCTCGTTATTCGATATCTGCGCACTCTGACAAGTTCATTCATAACACCTGGTATCAGAGCTACTTTCCTAGCCTACCCCGCTTTTTAGAGTGTATTACCCCTCGGGGGGGGGACGAGGAAGGATGTCTTGGGGTCCAGGAGTTGCCTAGGCCGGCTTAGAGAACGGGTTAGTTGCTCTTCGCGGCCATGGATTTTTAGTGCACTCCTCGGCACCGCCAGATCCTTGCCTTCGACGGTCGCGATCGACCGTGGCCTCCCTCCCCCCGGGCAACGGACAGCTGGAGCTGTCGCGACTCTGAACGTGAGTACTATTCCGCTGCGTTATTTACCGACGATTTCGGATTTTGTGAGGCAGCTGGCGTCAGCGGACCTGCGTCGGCGCCTGCACGAAGATTTCGGAGTCGTCAACGGGTGTGGCAGTTGACGCCGTCGGATTTGGGTCAACAGCTGCGCGACAATCTCGGAGCTTGTCTGATGCGGCAAGTTACGACGGTGGCTCGTCGTCACTTTGCGGGCATGGCTCGCGGGAGGTGTTTCGGCAGCTGGCGACAGTGGATGTGCGTCACTGTGGCGATAATTTCGGAGCTACTGTTGAAGAAAAGTCGGTTGGGGAACTCGCCAGGCGCAAAAGGAGTTTGCGTCCGAAAAAGTCGGTGGCGAGGAGAGACGACACAAGACTGCCCGACTTAACGGGAGTTAACTGCCGTCCCGCCCGACCTGTTAAGTGCGGCGGCTTTTACCGCATTGGCGGGCGCGTCATCAACTATTTTCGGCAGGAGTGCTCGTGGACAGACGGGGCTTCATACCTGCTGACGCTTACGGGCTGCAACGGAAAACGCGGTGGCTAAACCGCACTTAGAGGAGTGGGACGCAGGCGACGAAGGAAATCGGGGCAGGTACACCTCGAAAGAACTCGTGCGACGCTGCGTGCCTGGTGTTGTTGCAAGCTGGCCGGCAGTATCGAGAACAGTTTCCCCTGACCAAGGACGTTGTTTTCGGGGACAGCTGCTGACAACCCACGGTTAAACGGTGTCCAAGGTACCGCCCGATAATTTCGGAGGGGTCGGTACAGGCTGCCGGGACACGCGAGAAGAAACGGCCCAACGGCTAAGCGGGGGTTGAAGAACGTTGCGGGGGCAGATTAAAAGCCGGTGGAATCGATCTGCGGCCCTACTTCGCCCGAACCTCACCATCCCCACCAAGTCCTGGTTCTGACTCATGCAGTCAACCTACTGTCGGAGTGAAAGGCCCCGCCCTCGCTTGGGCGCAGGCATTCTCTGCGACGACGTGGTGAATTCGACGAAGTGATCGTCGCATTGGATCAGCCCGTCCTCTGAAACCGCGGGTGGTTTTCGAGGAAGGTTGTCCTCTGATTCACCAGCCCGTCAACGAGCTCTGGTCGACGGGGTGCTGTTCGACGAGCTCGTCTTCTGATCTGCTTCTGGGTCGCGCGATCTCTGACGGACGGGGTGCTGTCCGAGGAGCCGCGTTCTCTGATCGAAGGGCGCTGTTCGGCGAGCGTCAGCTCGGCGAACTGGTCGGCCGAATTCGCGCGACTGCGAAACTCTGCAAGGGCATGCGAAATTCGCTCAGGTGGCTCTTAGCGAAATTCGACCTCCGAAATGGCATCACGTGCTCGACGGCGGACATCTGACGAAACCGTCGGAGCGTTTTCTACCTGGCACCTGCGCAATGTCTCTGACGGTGTAACCGTCTACCTGCACCTACTCGGCAGGTGCACACCTGCGCAGATATTCACCTGCGAATGCAGCGCTGGCAGGCCGCCCTGCTGCAGCGCTGGCATGTCGCCCTTCTGCTACGCTGGCAGACCGCTCTGTTTCAGCGTTGGCGAACCGCTCTGATGCAGTGCTGGCAATTCGCCTTGCAGAATGCTTGCTAGGGATTGCAATGCCATTCCAGAGATATCACTTTGCATGCTCATTCTTGTACTCTAATTCTCAATTTTCAATGTACTTTCAATTTCCTTAGTGGAAACTCTTGCCAAATTTCTCTGTTAACACAGCAAGTAGTACGAACTCTGTTAGAACGCTACTAGAGCGCTACGATCACCCACACAACTCCGTGCTCTCCTTCGTAGTTCACACCCGTTGTAGGGTGACTCTCCGCATGGTGCGGTGAGCGTGGAACGGCCACGCATTAGAACCTTCAGAGTAGCCGACTTTAGTGCTCAATACCTAAGTTGTTGTAGGCCGGCAGTCTAAACCGCCATGGTCGACCAGGAGGAGGTCGCTGCAGTCGTAGAGGATACCCTGCAGGCGCGGTTAGATGATGTTCGGGCACGCCACGCAGCTGGCGAGTACGGCGGAGCAACCTTGGATGTTATGCTCTTTGGAACCCGCGTGCAGTGGGCGCGCGACCCGTACTGAGGCGGATGGACTGCCCGCCACTCCCCGACCGGCACGCAACGAAGGCGGCGTCGACGACCAGGTCGACGGTGGTAACCAAGTCGGCAGCGAAGGCAGCACGAGGCTTCGTGGAGTGATTCGGGCCGCTGACTTTGGCGTCGGCGGAATGCAGGCACGAGTTCAGCGCTCGGCGGCAGCGGGAAGTTCGAACGGCAACATCGATGGTCGACGCCTTTCTCCTCAGCGGAGTGGAGCCAGGCCGACATCGGCGACTCATGCGTCGGCTGGTCGCGACGGAGGCATCGCGCCAGCGTACGGCTACTTCAAATTTTCGCCGGACAAGATCGCTGTGCCGAAGCCGCTCGAAGGACGACATGACTTGATCACATGGATTGAGTCAATCGAACCTCAGCTGGAGATCGCTGGATTGAAGAAGTTCGTTGACGGCAAGGTGGAGATGCCGGACGAAGACGACTCTGAAATGTTGGCGGAATTTCGCGCTGCTCACCTTCTGACCTTCATGGTCATTTCGAGGTGTTGTTCGCCGCTGGTGCAAGTCGCGCTGAAGCAGTGCCGACTTCAAGTGGACGCCGGCTACCAAGCGTGGCAGTACATCATGCGCACCTACAGAGCGACCGACGACCTCTACATCAGCCAACTGGAGAAGAAATTGGCCACCATTCGCATGGGCGAGCAGGAATCGGCGACCGAGTACTGCAATCGAGCGCGGCGAATTTTGGCCGACATGCGGATGGCTGGTTTCGAGTACTCGGTGGCGTCGTATGTCACGCATGTCATCAACGGCCTCCCCTCGAGCTACAATCTGATGCGACGGATGCTGATAATGCCCGGCACGCGCGAGACTCTGAACGAGGATTCGCTTTCGAGTCACATCATCCAGGACGAGTTTATGCAGGAGTCTGAGCGGTCTTCAGAGCTCCTTCCGCAGGCTAACTACGTCGCTCCGACGAAGCAGGGACGTCAGACGGGGCAGCGTGGGAAGTCGGGCGGAGGTGGAGGCGGTGGCGGAAAGTCGTCGAACACCAAGTCTACGGAGAGCGCCGACCGCGGAAAGTCGGCGAAGGGCAATGATCGCGGAAGCAGTGGTTCGCGTCGAGGAGGACGCCGCTGCTACATTTGTGGAGACCCTGACCACCTCTCCTACGACTGCCCTGATCGCGACGAGTCCGACGACAATCAGAGAGGGAGCCGCGGAAAGTCTGACAACGCCAGTCGTTCAGAGGACGGGAAGTCTGACAGCGACAGTCGTCGTCGAGACAACCAGCCGCGCAAGGAGAAGCCTGCGTCCTCGAAAACGGCGTCGAAATCAGAGGGTGATGCTTCGAGCGAAAAGAAAGCCTCTTGTTCGATGGTTGGCGTGGTCGAGCCAACAATTTCGCTGGCGCCGGAGGCTGGCGAAGACTTCCAGGCGGTCGCAGCAGCCGTCCAGGCGAATCCGACTGTGGTTCTCCTCGACAGCGGCTGCTCCCATCATCTGATGGGAACGCGGGAGGCCTTCGTCGAAATGAAGCCAAGAGGAGAAATCCGTCACGTGCGCGGATTCAACGGGCACAGTTGCTCTGAAAGGGGAGACTGGGAAGCAGGTTCTCATCCCCGACGTGTTGTACGTTCCGGGCGTACACGCGAACCTACTGTCTTCTGGCCAGCTGGAGGAAAACGGCGTGAAGCTGAAGCACGAGGGTGACGAGATGCTGCTCGTTTCTGCTGCAGGAGATGTGCTCGGTCGAGCACGCTACACCGGCCGAGTTCTCTGCACCGACCTTCG